TGGGAAGGAATTGTGAAATAAAATTGATGTAGATTTCTCTAGTATAGGGCTTTCCTATAGAAATGTGTGAGGATATATGGGATCAAAACACAACAAAAATCATGGCCTGGGGCCAGAGGTATGGTTCAGGGGTTAGGTATGATCCCCAACACCGCATATGGTCTCTCCAATTCCTCCCCCCCACACACACACTCAGCACCACCAGGCATAATCCCTAAGCTCTGTGCAGAGGCTGGAGTAAGTCCTGTGAATCATTAGGTACGGCATAACAACCAAAAAAGGGAGAAAGGAACTAAGCCTGGGACATTGGCCAGAAAGTTTTTATCTGGTCTTCGAATGATAGTCCTGTGCCAACCTGCCCCTGTGATGTTAAAATGAACCACATCTCCAGCAAGGGGAGGACACACAGACTGTGGGTAACTGACCCCTGGGGCAATACCAGCAGCACCCTCAATTCCATACAATAACCTCACCCCAGAACTCAGTAAAGGAAGCGAGTACATGGGCTATGGGCTGCAGAGATAGTACAGAGGGGAGGACGCTTGCCTTATAAGTGGCTGATCCATCTCATGTGGATCCCTGAGCACTGGCATGAGTTATTGAGTGGAGAGCCAGGAGTAACCCCTGAACATCACTGGATGCAGCCAAAAGGGAGAATAAAATGAAGAAGCAGGAACAAAAGAGTACACCCTGACTATAAAGAGCCCAAACTGTCCTCCGAGGAGGACCTAACCCAAGTCAGCAACTTAGAAGGCAAGTGCCTTACCCCCGTACTCTCTCCAGGCCTGTACTATCATCTTTGTAGGTTCATGGACCCACAAAGACTCATCCTTCTGACCTGATTTGGGGCTGGGGAGGTGTCAACACGTCACCGAGGATTTGGAGTTTTGAGATACAGGAAAGCATTTTGGGAGGAGTCCCTCCAGGGAGGTGCAAAGATGCATGTGGAGGAAGAGTAACAAGAATGCTCGGGGGAGAGAGAGCAGACTACACTAGTGATGATCTTGACCCTAATCAACCCAGTTCCTATTCTTGGGCACAAACAGACTCTATTTCTCAGCTTCCTTGTTGGATTGGTTTAGGTGGGGGAGGGGGCACATGGCTAGTTTCTGGTCAATGGAACAGGGGTGAAGGAACACCCGGGGCCTGGCACAACTCCCCATGGGATCCTCCTAGGCATCGTCTTTACTGTGGAGTCAGGCAAATGTAACAAAACCAAGCGAGGACTTCAAGTAGGTTCTAGAACTGTGCTATCTAATAGAGTAGCCACTGGCTACCTCTGGTTATGACTTGAACTGTGGCTGTCTAGATGGAGATAAGCTAAAAGTCAAAAATACTCAATGCCTCTCTTACAAAACACAGGACCCGAAAGAAAAGAGAGAGAACAAGGGGGAATGCCCTGCTACAGAGGCAAGGTGGGATGGGGGGGGCGGGGGTAGGAGGGGAGGGATGCTGGGACCCGTGGTGGTGGAGGATGGGCTCTGGTGGAGGGGTGGGTACTTGATCATTGTATAACTAAAACCCAAGCACAAAAATTTGTAAGTCTATAATTGTACCTCATGGTGTTTCACTAATAAAAAAAATTTAAAAAATAAATAAAATAAAATAAAATGTGCAAAAAAAAATGGAGAAAATTTGAGGCAGAAAAAAAAATAGACCCTGGGTTACAAAGATTTAGCATGGCATTCTGTTCTGTCACTTTTTTTTTTTAATGTAGCCACTAGAAAAGTTTCTATTCCATCTGTATCTTACATAGTTCTCTGGACAGCTCTATTCTAGACCAACATAGCTCAACTTTTTTTTTTTTCATGATTATCTGCCAAAGGGGCCTTTTTACAGGTTTTATCTCCTAACTCCTTCTCTCCCATAAAACTGGAGCAAGGCAAATATACGTCATACCTCAGCCTTTGAACTATCTAAGACTTTTTCACTTTGCTTCAAGAACTCTATGTAAATGAACCCTATTTGTATTCAGAACCGTATTTAAAGGAAGTTGAGGCTGGAGAAGTGAAGAGACTGGAGGGTGTGTGTAAATCAGTCAACTGGTGGACTGACACCCCTCCTCTCTCCCAAGAGAAAGGATGCCTTATCCCCTTTAGTAAACTGGGGGTGGGGTTGTCCAGAGGCTATGTGTGTGTGTGGGGGGGGTGTTGTTAGCCTTGGATTTGGGTAGGACCACAAAACCCGCTCTTCTGATCCACCCACTCTTTTGTTGTTTGTTTCCAAACAAACCCTACTATGACTGAAAGAAGAGATGCCTTTGTTTTCTTACAACCAATGGCGTGTGTGTGTGTGTGTGTGTGTGTGTGTGTGTGTGTGTGTGTACCAGAAGAGAGAGGCTCTGGAGATGGAGGTGCTGGAATCCCTGGGTCACCATCTGGAAAGCTTTTCAAGAAGAATAAGAAACAAATCACTTTTCAAGAGGAAGAACAAGAAACAAATCTCATAGACCACTGAGATTTCAGGGTGACTTGTTTTTGAAGCCACCATTGATGACTCTGACACTCCAAGCTCTAGATTTTACAACATAATCAAAAAGTACAAAGATCTCTTACAGAAGAAAAGTTCAGAGATCCAGGGTCTGGCCAGTAGCTCATAGGACTGGGAGGCCTGCTTCGCATCGGGAAGTCCTAAATTCAATACCCAAGCACTATCATCAGGAGGGAGCTCTGAATACTGTACCTGAGTAGCCCTTGAGCATCACCAGGTGTGGCCCCCAAAACACACACACAGAGGCTGAAGAGATAACACATTGGGTAAGCCAACTGACCTGGGTTCCAACCTTGCACCACAAATGGTTCCCCAAGCCCTGCCAGGAGTGATCCCTGAGCACAGAGCCAGGAGTAAGTCCTGAGCACCACCAGGTGTGTCCCCAAAACTAAAAACCGAAGCAGAACAAACAAACCAAAATCACACATAGAAAATAATGTCAGGAATCTATAGTGCCCAGCCAACCCATCTACATAGGATCTGCAAATCTTTCCAGGACACACAGCTTGCCGACACCACCCATCAGCTAGCATTTGTTGCTGACTTCCACATGGTGTCTTGCCTTATGACCACATTCCAACATGATGTACTTAGGTGACAGTCTCATTGACTGTGCTCCCTTCACTCGCTTGGCAACTTGGGCCTGGAAGGATTCTCCGGGGTGTGTGTGTGTGTGTGTGTGTGTGTGTGTGTGTGTGTGTGTGTGTGTGACAAATCTTCTAGACTCTGGAAATGCCAATCACTCACCACCACTCCTGAAACCCATTGTTCCTACAAAAGCTTGGGTCGGAGTCCAAATTTTTTACGAATGAGCTACTCCAGAGAAAGAAATCATTCTGAACAAATGGTAAGATAAAACCAAAATGCCAATGGCTAATGTAGGAGAAATCAGAGTATAAAAAGAAGGTAGTCTAAACATATTATGTTGAAGATATTTCCCTTTTTAGGTTTTGTTTTGTTTGGAGGGCACACCCAGTGATGCTCAGGGGATTGCTTCTGGATCTGCACTCTGAAATTACTCCTGGAGACGCTCAGTAAACTGAATAACTCAGAAGTCGCTCCTGGTGGGGATCAGATGGTATGCCAGCAAGAGTCCTACCTGCTGTACTTTCTCTCCAGCCCTGAAGATATTTATTTCATCTTTGCAAATTTTACAGATGATGAAATGAATTCTTGCTAAGACTGTCCCAGAGCTAGAATGGAAACCTTATTAAGTAAGGATCCCTAGAAGTTTAACATCTGGAGTTTCTACCAACATACTATTTGGGGTCTGGAGACATATCTCAGTGGTTTTGAGCAGTACCCTCACAAACCATAAGGTTGCAAGTTCAATCTCCAGTGCCACCACAAGTGCTGAACACCATTCTGTTGGTTCTGTCAAAGGACCATCACAGCCAGGAAGTGTGAACCCCAGTGAACACCTGTGTGAGCACAGTAGAGGCCCCTGGAAAGCTCCACAACACCAGGCAGGGGGGCAGGTGTTCAAGAACTGAAATCCCATGTGTGACCTCATCAGCACTCCAACTAAAAATGGATGAGCAACCTTCCTCATGACAATAGTGAATTAACACAAAAATAAGTTTTAAAAATGGACCCAGGAGATGGATCAAAGGGCTGGAGCAAATGCTTTGCAGGGAGCTCTGGGTTCAACTCCTGGAATTGCTGGTTCTCTGAGCACTGAGCCGAGAGTAGCCTCTAGTACCATGTATTGCCGCCAGCACCATTCCATGTGACCCCAATGCAAATAATAACAATAATAAAGAGTTTTTTTTATGGGCTGGAGAAATAGTATAGTGAGTAGGGCATTTGTCTTGCACACAGCTAACTGCCGCCATCACATAAGGTCCCCGAGCCCTGCCAGGAGTGACTCCTGAGCACAGAGCCAGGAGTGAACCCTGAGCACCACAGCGTGTGACCCCCAAACTAAAATAACAACAACAATAATAACAGTTAATAATGATAAATAAGATGCCTTGTCAAGGGCTTTGCGATGAAAACTGGCAACTTTCTAAAGTCAGTCAAATTGCTACAAAATTGCTACTTGTTTCCTGCGGTGTGCTTAGCAAGTGGTATTTATTTGCCTGCTCTTTGTGAACAAAATTTTAACCTGTCCTTTTCACTCAAGTCCAAAGAAAGGTATGCGCTCTAGGAATAAAGAGGATAGGGGAATACAGGGAGCGGTCAAGGGAAGAAAGGAAAGAAAAGCGCGACTAGAGGCCCAAAGACAAGTTTGCTCGAACAGAGCTCCAGGCGGGAAAAGTCTGAAAGCCCAGGGGAGTGCGAGCTTCTTCCCGGGGCTCTCGGGTAGCCGAGGTTGGCCAGCCCCGCCCCCAGCAGATCCCTCCTTCCGCCCTTCGCCCCACCTTCGTTAAAAAAAAAAACAAACCGGTATGCTCTACCCGGCCGACTCCCATAGGCTAGGCAAATGAGCGGCTCCAGGGAGGACCAATGGGCTGCGGCCACGGCTTGGCGAGCGCCTTCCGGCCCGCCCCCGCCGCGCCTCCCGGAGCCTGCCAGGCCGAGCGAGGGCGGGACTTGGGGCGGCGGGGGCGCGGCGCGGCGGATCCGAGGCCTCGGCGGCGGCGGCTGCGGCGCGACGCGACTGTGCGTGCGGGAGGGACCTCGGCATGGCTCGCCTGGTGCTCGGTAGGTGCGGGGCGCCCGGGGGTGGGCGGGCTGCCCGAGCGGGCCCGCGTGTGCCTCGGCTTCCGTCCGGGCAACGGGCGGGCACGTTGCCGGCGTTTTGGGGTGGGGGCTCGCGGGCGCGGTCCTCGGCCAGGGGTGCTCGGGGCTGGGTGAGTGTGTGTGTGTGTGTGTAGGGGGGGGGTGTTGCGGGGTCCGAGGGGGCTCGGGAGAGCGCTGGGATTCATTTGCGAGGCGGTAGAAGGGGGAGGGGAGCCCCGCAGGGCGATCGGGGGCAAAGGGGGCCCGGGCTGCCCTAGGCCGGGGCCCCCCAAGCAACTCGTCGGGGTCTTGCAGGACTTGGGGTGCTTGGTGGGGGTGGATGGGGGGTCGCATTAGAGGGGGTGGGGGGGAGGAACTTCCGCAACTCTCCGCCGGGGGTCGGGGGAGGAGCTTGTGCTCGGGCTCGGCTGGCTGCTGGGCTGGGGCGCTTGGGGGCCTCTGGACGACCCCGCGGTGGGGCCGGAGCCCCCTCTCCCCGCCCCGGAGCCCAGCACCGGCTCCACCCTGGCGGGTCTTGGGTACAAAGGGGGTGCGAACTCTTAAAGGGGGTATCCGGGAGCGCCTCGGGGCCCTCCTGGTGGAATTCTTTTCCGACTCGTAAGAAATAACGAAATTAGCAAGCCCTGGCTGGCCGCGCCGGGTGGATGGATGCGGGAGGGAAGGGAAACGGGGCTCCCCAAAGCCGGTTTTCGGGTGCAGGGGCGCTAGGGAAAAATAAGAGTGCGAGGCAACTTTTCAAACCAGTGCTTGGGGCGGCCGCCTGCTGTAGATAGAGATTGCAGGGAAGCGGGGTGGCGGGCCCCGCTCTTGCTCCCTGGGCCTGGCGACGCGCCGACTGGCCTGTAGCCGGCCGGCCCCACCCCAGGGTTTGCCTCGCGACCACCCATCTCCCGCGCACGCCTGGGCGGTGTGAACCGTGGCAGCACGCGGCTCAACTAGCCTTGAGGCTCTCTCTGAGACTTGACGAGTTAATGCGTGTCCAAAGAGGATGCATCAGATTAGAATCTTTGCTGTGCCCCTGTCTGGGGCATGCACAAGAGGGGGATGCACCAGATTCGAGTCTTTGCTGTGCCCCTCTCTGGGGCATGCACCAGGGGGATGGTTGCACCAGAAACGAACTAGTTTCTGCTGCGCCCCTGTCTGGGGCATGCACGAGGGGCGAATGTGCCCGGGGGAGATTTCATCTCCGCTTAGCTCCTCTCCGATGAATTTTGACTGAGGTCTGCAAGAGTCGGGCTCTGCCCAGGAAGTGCTCGTTCTGTCCTCAGCCCTCAGCGGGTGGTTCCGCGCCACTGCTTTTGGGACCCAGCTCGCAGGTGTGGGGCATCAGCGGTCGCGGCTGGGATTTCCAGCATCCTTGAGTGCGGTGGAGGAGGAGGGACGGGAAGCCAGATGGCCTAGCCATCTGCTCTCACATTCCTGTCTGGAATCTCCGCGCTGCCATGCTCAGTTTCCCGGTGGAGCTCATTACCGGGGAATGGGGTGGCAAGGAGAACGTGAGGGCGTTACATTGGTCAGCGTTGACCTACTTCCTGTCTGATGTGTGCCCCGTTTTTTCCCTGAGGGATTTTGAGCGAGGGGTGGTTTCTGATTGCATACATGCAGTCACCTACTTTTCTGAATATTGTGTTCAGGGGCCTTCTAACCCGTCTAGTGCATAGAGCTTTTGAGGGGATCTAGGGAGGCAGTTAGCTGGCACTTTTTAAGGAGCAGATGCCTCTTGTAAGGACCGAAGAAAAAATGTGGCCATAGAGGGGCTGGAGAGATAGATAGGACAGCGGTTAGGGGGCTTCCCTGCACACTCCGTACCCAGTGCAAGCAATCCTTAGCACCGATAAGGGTCCCCTGAACCGCCTGGAGTGATCCCTGAGTACAGAACTAGGAGTAAAGACTGAGTACCACCAGATGCAGCCCAAATTCACAAATAGAACAAGTTCAGCCCCATCAACAGGAAAGGGGGAAGCGACCACCGTTTTTGTGTGGAAGGAAAGCACATTCCTCCGGTCCGAATGGTGGTCCCTTGGGAGCCAGCCAGTTTGTGAGCCCCCAGAAAGGAGCATGCATTCTGGGCTTGCCTGATGAGCAGGAGAGGGAAAGGGACTCCTCCCACCCCTGTCCACTGAATGCATTGTCTTGGCTTCACGCTACTGTCCTCTCCAGATCTCCGATCCATAATTGGGGTTGTATAACCCTGTTCTGTCTCTGAGGATGTGGCTTCAAGAAGGTTACCCTAACTGTGTTTCCATTTCCTGGTCTAAAAATGGACTCGATATAGACTACAGAGTTCTGAAATGAATGAATAGAAGTGTGTAGAATAATGTGCAGACCACAGAGTCATGGAAGTTTTATTAGTTAAAATGGCAGTTTTGGAAGGTAGATGGACAGATGAAATGTTAGCCATACATATCCCCAACCTCTCGTAAGGTTTTCTCCCTAGGAAATCTATTTGAGGGAGAGGAGGTGGGATTTTAGAATTTTTAGTATTGGTCTGTTGGTAATGAAAAATTGGCAGCAATCAGCTTCTTTGGCGGGGTGAAGACCATTCCTAGCTGTGTTGAGGGAAATGATGAACTGCTTTCTGTCACACCCGTTTTCCCCAGTGCAAAATCTGCCTTCCAGCGCCAGCTTGCATTTTGAGAGAACTAAGGTTACAGACAACTGTATAGTAAAAGTCATTTATTTAAATATATTTAGATTTCTCGGTTGCATAGGGAAACGTAAAAAGATCCACCAAAATATTAGTAGTGTTTTTCTAGTGCACCATTTGATGGTTCTTTTGACTTTTCCATCTTTGAAATTTTCACCATAAGCTCAGTGTATTGAACAGCCATCAGTTTATATTAGTTTTACAAAAAAAAGAAAGAAAGAAACTTCTTTAAAAGTAGTTGACCTTTGGGCGGAAAGGTAATGCAGGGTTTAAGGTGCTTGCCTTGCTGACAGCCCACCATTGTTTTATGCTTTATACTGTATATGGTTCCCCCTCTGCACCACCAAGAGTGATCCCTGAGCATAGCTACCTCCATCCCACCCCCCCCCCCAAAAAAAACAGTAGGTCTTCATAAAGGATCATTCTCATTTTCAAGTTTATTCAGAATTAGGACTCATATTAGATACTTAGTTTGCATGCTTTGTTAAGTAAATCAGACAACTTAAAAGTTTCTGGCAGCCCAAAGGGAAGGGGGTGAGGGGAGAGAGAGAGGAAGGGGGTTTTGGGGAGGGGAGGACATCTTAGTGGTGGAAAATGTACACTGGTGGACTGGTGGAGGGATAGATGTTGGATCATTGTATGACTGAAACCCTGACCATTAACAGTTTTGTAATTGTATCTCATGGTGATTTGGTTTAAAAAAAAATTCAAGTAAACATTTGAATATATTAACCAGCATAAGAAAAATTACATATGGGGTTTACAAGATATTTTAGGATGTAAGGTGCAGCCAGATTTGTCCCCCAAATAAAGAAATTAAAATGTTAAAAAATAAAGTTTCTGGCAGCCACTGATGTGCTAAGAGTAGCATACCACATTTGATGGGGTATATAGTAGAAGGCAGCCCGGCTCAATCAAAAAAAAAAAGTATTTGCAACAGGCTCAACTTGTAAGAACATGTTAGTAGTTCCTTATAGCTTAATAGCTCCAGGGTGAGATATAACACTCTTCACACACTTTCCTCTAAGGAGGCTTTTTTGAATCATTTTTAACTGATTATTCATAACAAGCAATAAAAAATTATTTAGGGGCAGGCTTTGGGGGTGGTGGGAATATTCAAATTAATGGTGGTGAGAAGGTGTAATGGTGGTGGGATTGGCATTGCAATAGCAAATGTAGTCAACTATCGTGAACAATTTTATAAAAATAAAATTTAAAAGAAAAAAAGTTTCTGGCAGCCTTGGAAAGATTACTGAACAGCATCATCCAATGGAAATCTATAGCTTTAGCTGTAATTTAAAATTTTCTGGTAGCCAGGGGCGGGAGAGATGGATGGTAGAGCAGGCAGGGCACTTGTCTACCGCGTGGTTGACCAGGTTTGGTCCCCAGCACCTCATGTGGCCCCATGATGCCCACCTGGAATGATCCCTGAATGCAGTCAAGAGTCAAAAATAAATAAATAAATAAATAAATAAATAAAAGAAGGGGGAAAACTTATTACTATTGTCAGTTGAAGATGTTGACTTATTAAATCTTTATCAGTACACAGCTTTTCTGCAAATCTTTAAGTACTACATCTTTCAGTGTTAATGTTTTCATCTTTTAGAAGATGAGAAAAAAAAAGAATCCTGGCTAATGTTGAATGAAATGAAATTATTCACAGATCTGGTTTCACTTAACATTGTGGATGGTTCTTGGAAACTAAAGGACCTATAATAAAACCAGAATCTAGAATGAATACTTTTATTTGTTTGTTTGTTTTTTCAGCAATAGGCAGCTGGGATTTATTTTTTTTCCCCCTCATCTGCCTTATAACAAAACGGCATCCAGGGGCCAGAGAGATAATCCAGGGTTAAAGTGTTTTGCTTGCCTTGCACACAGTGGACCCAGTTCAGTCCCCGGGCACTGCATATGGCCCTCAGAACACCACCGATGTGGCTCAGTCCCCCACTGCCCAAGAACCCCCAAAACTCAGCATTGGACAGGAAACTTATTTAAGAACCTGTTACACATTTACTGTTGCAGTTTCTCAAAACTTGTCAGCAATGTTAAATGAGCATTGACTGATTATTTAGACTGTGATTAAGCTTCTAGATTAGCCAACTGGAGGACACTTGGTTCACTCTATGGCCCAGCAGTGCTATTAGTGATACAGTAACCTTTATCCTTGTACACATGACAATTCTTTCTAAGCTTTACCAGCAACATTATGAGTCCCTGATGATTTGCTATGGACAATTGGTAGAACTAAAAAAATTACAAGAAAAAATTGTCTTTAAGAGTCCTAATCTTAAGGGAGACAATAAGTTTTCCTTGAAAAGTTAAATAAAGATTGTATGCTAATATCAAAATTGAATAACATAAGGAATGAATACGAGTTGGATTATTCAGGGTCACCAAACTAGATTTGACCTCTCAGTTTTTCACTGTCCCTTTTTTTAAAATCTTTTTTCGCTGGAACTTAAGAGATAAAGAGGGTGGACTGTGTTAGCTTGCTCAGCACTGCACAGGTGGGAGTAAACTGGCGGCGACTCCGACAGCAGCAGGAGCCACTTGTGACCCTGGCTGTCCTGCCATGGTCAGTGGCCAAAGCAGGAGCTGCCCAGATTGCCTGTTAGATGACAGACTCTGCCATTAATGATGTTCTTTTTGTCGTCACTGCAGGTGTGGTGAGCTGTACCTTCTTTTTAGCAGTGAATGGTCTGTATTCCTCCAGTGATGATGTGATTGAATTAACACCATCAAATTTCAACAGGGAAGTCATTCAGAGTGATGGTTTGTGGCTTGTAGAATTCTATGCTCCATGGTAAGTATTGTGAAATAGTTGTCATATATTTATGGTATTTTAGGGGGAAAATAGCATCTAGAAATGTCACTTGATTACTCCATCTCATTTAGCTAGTTAACTGCTTAAATACAGAGAGGTAGAGAGGGAAATGTGACACTCCACTAGGTTGCTAAAGGCCTTGTAGGCATTCCTACCCCTCTCCCACCCAGCCCCAGTCAGTTTTTTAAGAAGTGAGTATAGGTAGCTAATTGGTGCAAAAGAGCAGGAAGAAATTTTCATAATATTAAGGTGTTTCTCTTATGATGTGCTCATAGGATGAGAAGGCTGGCAAATCGATTTTATGAAGAAAATACATGGACAGAGGAAAGGGAAGGACTAATATCAGCTCTTTTATTTCCTGAAGAAGGTTTATTTAAAAAATAAGGGACTTAAAAGATTTGATTTAAGAGTCTGAGCAATAGGACAGCAGATGGGGTGATAGCCTGACGCGTGGCCCACCTGGGTTCCATCCCCGATAATCCCTTATGGTACCTTGAGCACCACCAGGAGTAAGCCCTGAGTATCACAGGGTGTGACCCCAAACAAACAACAACCAAACAGTTTCCCCTCATCCACATTCATCTGTCTGTTGGAATAAGTACGCAAATTTCAGACAAATGTCTTTATTTTTTAAATTATTATTAAAAGATGATTCATGGGCCGGAGTGACAGCACAGCAGGTAAGGCGCTTTTGCCTTACATTCAGCCAACCCAGGTTTAATCCCGGCATCCCCTGCAGTCCCCCGAGCCCTGTCTGGAGTGCTCCCTGAGGTCAAAGCCGGGAGTAAGCCCTGAGCATCCCTGGGGTTTAGGGTCAGAGATGAGCCTCGCCAGGAGTGATCCTGAGCACAGAACCAGGAGTAAGTCTTGAGTACAGCCAAGGAGGGAAGGGGACAGTGGTGGTGGGATTGGTGTTGGAATATTGAATGCCGTCACAACTTTGTAAACCACCGTGTTTAAAGAAACTGGGGTGGGGGTGGGGGCAGAAATTAAAGTGCCACTGAAATTAGAGGTGTGTAATTATATATAATTAGAATATATATAATCTATTGCTTATGTAGCTAAAACATTTTGAATACTGCTTATCTTTAAGAGCCCTTGATTTTTGTTTGTAAATTTTGAATAAGTTAATTCCTTTGTATTGATAAATATACAAACCATCACAGCTTTGAATACTTCTTTGGTGTGTTTTGGGGGTTACACCTGGAGGTGCTCGGGGGCCATTGAGCCTGGTTCACTTGCCTGCGAGGCAAGCGCCCTGTTTCCTGTAACTTACCTCTCTGGCCCCAACATCTTTGAGTACTTGTTGGAGTGGGGTTAGGGAGGGGCTCCAGGCAGTGTTCGGGGGGGCCCAGAGGCAACTCCCGGTGATACTCAGCCAACAGGGCTGGTGGTCAGTGCTAAGACCCAAGGACATGGTGCTTCTCAGGCCCTCGGGGCCATTTTGGTAGTGACTAGCCTTCCACGGCCACAGTGGTGCTCAGGAAGCCTGGTGATGCTGGGGACCAAACCTGGGTCAGGACACGCAAGGCTGTGTCCAAACTCCTCAGCTGTCTCCTGTTCCTGTGAGTGCTTTTTTTTATATAAAGCTTTTGCAGGTTAGATCTTTTCCCTCATTTATAGCATGAGCGGTTTGCCTTGTTTGGGAGAGGTATGATATGAGAGAATTTGCCTCATTTCTAAAGGAGACCAGGTAGTTCAAAGGGAAGGCTAGGAATCTGGGAGTTAATCACTAGGGCCCGACTGGCAGTGTTGTGTGATAATGTTCCAGATGGAAGAACACCAAACGGGAGAAGGTACTTGGAGCCTCTCTGTGGGCTCTGGATTTTTTCCTAGAATAAAACACGGCCCATAGGGTTGCAAAGGAGACCGAACATCGGAAATAACATTGAGCCAGAGAACATGGAGGGTAAGGTGCTTCCACTGCATGGTGCCGCCCGTGGCTGGACTCTCAGCTCTGCTGGTGGTCCCTCCAGCACAGGAATAGCCCCCGAGCTTCACCAGGCGTGGACCCAGCCCCCTCCAGGCCAGAAAACAGGACTGGCATTACCACATGTTAAACTCTTTGTGGGGTGTCCTGCTCCATTGCACCTAACAGCTGGCCACCATCATTCTGACATCTTCACCAAATCTGCAACATCCATAGTGCAGGTCATGGGAAGAATTGCCCTTTTATTCCTGACAAAGTCACATTTTGTATCTGTGGTGAAAGGCGATCTCCTGATTTTCAGTTAGTGAAAACAGGGCGCGGGGCTTTTTGTTTTTCGTTTTGTCATCTAAATTCACAGAGCCTCTAAAGTTTAAATAACAGTCCTTTGTGGAGGGAGCCCCAGGTGAATCACCCTCAAGTTAGAAGATAGCCAAATCTTCCATGGATGTGTGTGGCGTTTTGATTTGTCTTTGCATTGTTTAATATTGATGTTGAAAGTGGTGTATTTACTCTGAAAGTCTCTGTACTAAACTAAAAATTAAAGAAGTACAATGCTCTGTGAAATTAGGACATTTGAGGGCCAGAGCAGTATTCCAGTGGGTAAGGCATTTGCCTTGCAGGCAGCTGACCCAGGTTCAATCCACAGCATACTATATGGTCCCCCGAGCACCGCCAGGAGAGACCCCTGAGTATTACTGGGTTTGGCCCAAAAACTTAAAAAAAAATGGGACCTTTGAAAGTCTTTAGTTCTCCTAAACACTTATATCTGCAGAAGATATGTGTGTAGAAGCTATATGTCAATATGTAGAAGTAGTATATAGCTTATACATACTTATATCTTCTGGAGGTACTTATTATGTTCTAGGGAGGTGAGTATTTATACATATATAAGTAGTATGCAGAGGTGTGTAGAAGCTACATTTCAGAGCATTTGTCTCCCTGAAAGATCCTGATTTTTAAAACACGCACACTTGAGAGGTTGAGGTTCTGTTCCCGATCACTGCAGCAAAGCGAGTATTGCACTAAAGCAAGTACAATTTTTCTTTTTGCCTTCCCTGTGTGTATACAGGGAAGTTGTATTTGTACCATACTGCAGTCCATTACAAGTACAATAGCATATTGTTTTAAAAAGCAATTTGTAACATCTTAATTACACAACTCACTGTGAAGTGAGCAGATGCTTCTGGAAAAATGGCACTGATATATTTGCTTGGTGCAAGACGGTCACAAATTTTGAATTTGTTTGAAAAACTGCAAATATCTGAAAATCCCAACAAAACAAGATTTGCCTATAGTATCTCGAAGCTCCGACCCCTATGGAAGGTGACATTCCTTAGTGAGGAAGGTATCAGTGAGCTCTGTCTTAACCTTTGTTTCTGGAGGTGTCTTAACCTCTCAGGTGTCTGCTTCATCACCTGTAAAATGAAAATGATCTGGTCTGTCTGCAGAGTTGTGCTGGTTAAAGGAAATGCTGCAGGAATAGGGCTTGGTGTAGTGTTGGCATATGGCATTTGCTCGTTGGACCCCTCGAGACCTAATTAGAAGATTTACTTTGTTTAAAAGAAGAAACCTGGCCGAGGAGATGACTCAAAGGGTTGGGGGCACAGGCTTTGCAAATGGGGAGCACCAGGCTTGATCCAGTGGGTACTGCATGGTCCCCCCGTCTATTCTTGTGCCCTCTCCCCTCACCCCAGCACTGCCCGGTGTGGCCTCCCTCCAAAACTGAAAATAGAAGAAATCAAATCACCTATGAGTAAGCTCTGGTCTTTTCATATGGTGGCTGTTACACAACAAAAATGGAGAGTGTGTTTATATATGGTGGGATAAGCAGAACAGGTTGGTTTGTGTATGTGGATAAATACATGAATATACACAATTTTTTTTTAAGGCTCTGTATGTTTTGCCTTCTCACCCCCAAGATACTAGTACCTAAAAGATCATGGTTGTGGTATTGCTTCGGTTTTGCTTTGGGGTCCTGCCCAGCTCAGATGTCCAGTGCTGCTGCTGGCTGTACTCAGTGTTGGGGACCAAAGCCAGAGCCTCACTCAGACGCCCCCAGCCACATCCCTGAACCCAAGGTTGTGTTTTTGTCACTGTTTCTCTTTTCACGTTTTCATCACCCCCTGATAGGGCCAAGTGCTTTTCAGCTTGTTAGGTTTACTGATTTGGGATTGTGTGTGCATTTTAACTTGGCGCATTCAAAATCTGTCAGGAGACAGAGCGCTAATATTTAAGCGTAGGAGAGCTAAGCCCGCCGGTAAAACAAAGCAAAATAAAAGAAGATTGAACTAGATCAGAGAAAATTGAAAGGATTTCTACGAGGCTAATAGAGATTTAATCATCACTTGTATGGTTTATTTTAAAATGTAGGTTCTGGGTCCAGAGAGACAGCTCAACAGACTGGACCTTGGCTGTCCATGTCGGGGGCCTGGGTCCCATCCTCATCAGTTCTCCGAGCACTACCAGCTATGGCCCCTACCCACCAAAAAAGCCTACCAAAAAAAAAGCAATGTAAGGTTTTCAGGGGCCAGGGATGTGGTGCAGTGGTAAAGTGTGTGCTTTACATGTATGGAGATTCTGGGTTCAGTCCCAGGTACCACAACAAAAAGATTCCAAGAGCCCCATTTTCTAGTTGTTGGATCTTAGGAGTCGGCGTTTTGCCAGATGATTCAAACTACACATTGAATCACACTTGACTAGAGAACTTCTGACATTCCTATTCAGGTTGAAAATTACAATTGGAACTGGGTGTTTAAACTCTTAAAATATAATTAAGCAGGAATTTGGAAGCTGTGGAAATTATTAGATAAAGGTATGGAATCATATGATATGAAGGGATTATTATAGTCAAGTCTTGAAACTGAGCTCCTTCAGGGGCTCCAGGAGGATAATTTTTGAATTAGGGATCAAATACTAACTCTTATTTTGTGTTTTCATCCCATAAAAGGTGTGGACACTGCCAAAGGTTAACACCAGAATGGAAGAAAGTTGCAACTGCATTGAAAGTAAGTTTCAGTAGGGGCTGGAGAGATGGTACAGTGAGTAGGGAGCTTGCCCTGCACATGGCCAGTCCACATTCTGTCCCGACATCCCATATGGTCCCCTGAGCATTGCCAAGTATGACCCAAAAACAAAAGCAAGTAGTTTTCTACAATGTCCCCTTTCACCTCTTTAAATCAGCATGAAGCGCATTGATGCATACTGAGAAGCTAATTTGCACGATCACGATCACGACCATCCTGTTGTTCGTCGATTGCCTTGAGCAGGCCCCAGTAACGTCTCCTTCATCCTAGCACTGAGATTTTTTAAAAAGTGCCATATTCAAGGCTCTTTCAGGGTTAGGAGAATGAGACCCATCATTGTTACTGGTATTTGGCATATTGGGTACACCACGGGGAGTTTGCCAGACTCTGCCGTGTGGACAGGTAACATTCGGTAGCCTGCCAGGTTGTCCAAAGTAAGAATGAGATAATAAGATGTCCACTTCCGGTTGCTGGGTTTTATAGTCTCTGGGTCTTGGCTGTTGATGGGATTACATGGTGCCAGGGGGCCAGTTGGTGGGTGTGACCCCTGCCTAGTAGAATATGGAGGATCTGGGTGGAGGATGCTCAGCCCTGATCCGGGCAGGCTTGGAGATCTCAGCCCCGGGACCTGCATGCCTTTGTTCCTCTGCTGGTACCTTCATGCTTGTGGAGAGTGGACTCAGCATGGTGGTGGCTGGTCTTCGGCTGCTGGAGCCCTGGTCGGGGTGGGGAGGGAAACTCAACCCGCTCCCCTCCAAGGGGCCCCAGCGAGGACAACCAGGCACGGGGGCAGGAGACTCAAAATCCGGACATTCAAAATCCTAGTTTTGATTCCCAAATCTTGTCAGGAACCAGGGGCAGTATATATTTCCATATTGTTCCCTAGGGGAAGGGATGCAGTCTCCATGTTTTCACCTCCTGACAGTGCGGTGCTGGGGATGGACCATGGTCTTGCACGTACAAGATGTATGCTCTACTCCTTGGGTGCCTTAGTTACTTTCTTATTGTTGTTTGGTGGCTATTTCCCCTGGTGCTGAAGGCTTAACTCCTGGTTCTTCACTCAGGGATCACTCCTGGCGGTTTTAGAGGACCATATTTGGTGATGGGGATTGAATCTATTACTCTGAACTGTGATTCTCTGTGTAAACTCGACCCTTCTCTTTATTTTCTTAGCTTAGTTGGCATGAATCAGATGACAGGGTTTTGTGGCTCCTGCCTCAGATTAAAGAAAGAGATTGCCTTCCTTTTTCCATAGGATGTTGTGAAAGTTGGTGCCGTTGATGCAGATAAACATCAGTCACTTGGAGGTCAATATGGCGTTCAGGGATTTCCTACCATCAAGATTTTTGGGGCCAACAAAAACAGGCCAGAAGATTACCAAGGTAAGGACACTTTTCTTGGCTACTCCATTCTCCTGGTTAGAATTTTAATTTGAGCAAGTGGGTAGAAAGAGAACTTCAGATTCTGTTAACCTGTTAGCCCTGCTTTCTGCCGGTTTCTCAACCACTTTGTGTCTGAATTTCTTCATCTGTGAAATGGAATAGTGACTCCTACCCCTTCTGGTAAAGCTTTGAGGATGTCTTGTGTGGGGAAAGGATTCTTATTACTGTTGATGCTAGTGTAGACACAGCTCTATGGTAGTCCAGTGGAGTTCTCTGTACCCCTCTGTGTTTAGTAAGGATTTACAGATGTCTCTGAGCTGCCCTTCCCGTAGAAAAGGGATCTGGCAGTCTTTGACAGTTGGTAACATTACCAAGCTCGCTCAGAGGGGCGGGGAGGGTGTGTGTGTATGTACATGTACAGTCCAGAGGTCTGCCTTTTCCTCAGGTGCACATTAGAAGGGAAGGGATGCTCTATGTTTCTTTTCTTTTTTTTTTTTTAAGGGCAGTAGGCCAGATAAGTTGGAACCTCTGGTCTGACATCACAGCGTGGACAAAGAAGACCTGTCATTTGAAAGTCAGTTTCAATTGTCTGTTCATGTACCTGTGGAGTATTTTGCCCACGAATCCTTAGACCTGTGAACTAAGATTTGCATCGCAGGTTTTTAGTCTCCTTAGAATTAAAGTATCAGAACTTTTTTTTATGACATCTTATTGTCTCATTCCTACTTTGGACAAACTTGCAGGCTATCGAATGTAGCCTGCCCACAGGGCAGAGTCTGGCAAACTCCCCGTGGCGTACCAAATATGCCAAATACCAGTAACAATGATGGGTCTCATTCTCCTAAAGAGCCTTGAATATAATCTCAGGGCTAGGATGAAAGAGACGTTACTGGGGCCTGCTCGAGGCAATCGACGAATAACAGAATTAAAGTAAATTAGTACCACAAATTCTCCATGTTTTCTGAGCAGCCCCAGCAGTGCTCAGGGCTTACTCCTGGCTCTGTGCTGAAGGATCACTCCTGGTGGAGCTTGGGGGACCACATGTAGTGCTGGGGTCCTTCACCTCTGTACTATCTCTCTGGCCCAGTTTTCTCTGATTTGTAGATTCCACTGACAATTAAAGGGAGAAATCGAGCTTGAGGACTCCCAGGGCTCACTGTTCTTCTAGTCACCCTCTTTCTATCATTTCAGATCTGACAGACATTTAAGATCACTGGAATTACTCAGTAAAGCTTGTGTTTGTGGTTCTCAGGAAAGGATTGGGGATAGAGTAATACTTTATGTATTTAAGTTTAATACTTTATTAATGTAATACTTTTGTGGATCATTTAATAAAATTGTGGGGTTTTTTAGGGGTGGACGGTTTATACCTGGTGCTCGGGGGTCTCTCCTGTTGGTGGTCTCGGCTCTACTCATTGCTGGAGATCAGGCCCAGAGGGGCCTATGCTACATGCTTTCCCTTAGAGCGATCACCTGGGCCCTGGCAAAATTTTGTTTTTTCTCTTTAAAGAGAAAGGATTTGGGGCCAGAGTTTTAGTACGGTGGGCAGGACACTTGCCTTGCATGCGGCCAACCTGGGTTTGATCCCCAGCACCTCATACGGTCCCCCCAAGCACCACCAGCATCCCTGAGCACAAAGCCAGGAGTAAGCCAGGAACACAGCCAGGTGTTGCCCAAAAACAAAAAGAGTAAATTTTGTTTTTTCTCTTCTGTTCCTTGGGAAAGAGTTCTGCTTTCTGTGAGAACGATAAGTTTCCACTGGGCAGGGGTGGAGCTGAGGAGTATGAGTGGCATCGAACAAGCGTTGCCGTGCTTGTCTTGAATTGTATTCCACTGACAGAAAAAAATATATATCAAAAAAGAAAAGTGGAGGGAGTGTAGAATCTGGAGGGTGAGTGGCTTCGAGCTACCTCCTACGCTTGCTTAGTAGCTAGAGGGGATACTTAACTCTCCTGAGCGTGCTCCGTGTTGGCACAGTGGGGGTGTGGAAGCCAATTTGAGACCGAGAAATTTCATTGAAGCTGGTATATGTGTAAAGCATTAGACTTGGTTAGTATCTCTGTGTAGTTGGGTCCCAATACCTGTAGGTGAGCTGGGCTTAGCTAAAGCATTTCTCCTACAATTCAAGCTTTCAAGTTTCATTAGTATTTTTTTTTCTTTCTTTTTTCTTTCTTTTTTTTCTAGAAATAAACACCTACTTTTCAGAATATTGCATTCACTTTGCTGTTATACAAATGTATTTAGAGAAGGGGTGACATTTGGTATGCTACCTACTGTGTTAACTGCCAGGAGGGGGCCTCCAAGATAGTTTGACACAGTCACCGGTGTTCCTTTTTATTACTGGTTGATTGGTTTGGGAGGAACACTGGGTAGGGCTGGGGGGATCATGCGGTGTAAGAGACTGATCTCAGGGCACCTTTGTGCCAGCCCAGGGCACCTATCTGCCCAGCCCTCCAGTTACTTCCTCTGCCTCACATCTAGAGTCTTATTTAGGATGCATGCACTTAATTAGGATGCACGCCAGGACATACAGATAGATTCTGAATGTCACCGTACTGAGTTTTCTTTCGTGAGTCCAGTCAGAAATCTTAGGTTTTATTTCTTTCTGGACAGTTTGATTAGGAGACACTTTTTAAAAGAAAGGGAAACAGAGACTGGAGAGGGAGAGGGAGAGGGAGTGTTACAGGTAAGGCACTTGCCTTGCATGTGGCTAACTTGGGTTTGATCCCCAGCACTGCGTATGGTCCCCTGAAGACTATCAAGAATGATCCCTGAGCACTGCTGGTGTGGCCCAAAAGTAACTTCCCACCCCACCCCACCCCCCAAAAAAGATGGGGGAACAACAAAAGATGAAATGCATGTGAAGAGGTTGTGTTTTGCCCACAGTTTGAAGATCAGTTTCTGGCAGGCATTAAGCTTCCACTTCTGAGCCAGTGCGCAGCCTTTCTTGAGCAGAGAGTCTGGGGTAGCAGGGCTTGCTACTGTGTTAGGGCGAAACCAACTGTAGAACCCAGAAGCTCAAAATGCAGTATTTTCAGTGTGATAGAGAAAACACCAGGTTTGCTTTTCAGATACTTTATGCCCTGCTTTCTCCAGTCTTTTTCTTACCTTGTCAAACTAAGTTTCTCCAGGTTTTCTTGTATTGTCCTTCATACTTGGGAATTTCCCCTTTTCTTAACTAGATGAAGTTGCTGTAAATGTTTCTAAGTCCTCATTAGTAAAATTCTCATGTGTAGGTCAACAGGAAGTTCTTATTCCTAACGTAATCTGGGGAAGAGGAGTTACTTGGTTAACGTGCCCTGCAGAATGCATTCTGGGGTGAGATCACCTTTCCCCTCAGTCCGTGTGCTGTCAGGTCTGGTAGGACATCCACTGATGCTGGACTGTTCTTGGAGGCCCGCCTCTCCTCCCTCCCTTTCACCTGTCCTTCCCTTGTCCCCCGGTAGGTGGCAGGACGAGCGAGGCCATCGTGGATGCTGCGCTGTCCACCCTGCGCCAGCTCGTCAAGGATCGCCTTGGCGGCAGGAGCGGTGGGAGACAAGTAAGTGAGCCTTTGTGGTTTGAGATGCGGGTGACTGTCACGCCCGAGGGGGCGCTCCTTGGGGAAGATGGCTTTCATTGTTTTCTCTATATCTTAAATTGATAAACTTTAAAATACATAGGAGGGGTGGGGGATTGACTTGGTGCCGTGCATGCTTCACATGTCTGAGGCCCTGGATTTGATCCCTGGTAAAATAAATGCATGTCTGTCATGTACCTGTTTATTATGTATGTAAATAACATAGCGTGTAACATGTTGCTTTTTATTAATATTTCTGTATGAATTTTATGTATAGATTTTAAGATGAAAAATAGAGGTGGTTGGCTCAGTGGGCCCTGAGGGCTGAGGTGGGGGTTGGTCAGCCTCCCGTTCTGCTGGTTTCCCCTCCTCAGAACCACAGCTGCAGGCTCAGGCCCCCCAGCGCGGCTTCCTGGACTCAGGGCTTGATTCAGTGAGTTTGAACTGCAGAGGGAGAGAGAAACCTCCTTGCGAGTTCTTTTCAGAGAGCCGGAGAGCCGGCGGGCAGGCAAGGGTGGGCATGGATGTCCCTATGGCCTCCTTCTGTCTGTGGATAGTTCTTCATAGGGAGGGAGAAGTGTGTCTAATGGGTTGGTGCTTTAGATACCCTCGTGTGAAATCTTTTTATGAAAAGGCATTAAATTCTTATTGATAGGGATAAAATGGCCCTTCCCCTCTCCAGTGAAACTCGCATTATACAGATTCGGCGCTTACCTGCAGGTCCTCTGCTTTTGCCTTTATCTTGCACGTTTAATGGCCCGGTCTTACCTCCCCGCCCACCCCCCATGACTTTTAGCCCAGGCAATGGTGTTATTAGCAGTGGTAACTTATAGGGCTAGTGTCTGGAAGAAAATGTTCTGAAAAATACAAAGGGTCGAATATTATTTTTCACTTTCTTGGAAGGTAGAGGTTTTATGGAAAGGTAGTGGCTATAGTTACGTATAGACACTGGGAATGACAAAGTTTCCATTACGGAGACTACTTTCTGATTTTGGCAACCAAGAGTGAGTGGGGAAATAATCTCGAATTTGAGTATCTGCATTAACTTTACATTTACAAAAAACATGTAAAGTCAATACTAATTAAGAGAGAACAGCTTTTTTTTTTTTTTTGAGCCAGGAGCTAAACCCTATCTTAAAATCACAAGCCATGGGCTTGCCCTTGAGCTGTATCTTTGGCCTCCTAAGGAGTATTAAAACAAAACAAAAATATCCCTGGAATAAACCAGCTTGAATCTGAATTGGAATAGTTTTATAAGGGGGAAGAGAGATGGTACAGCGGGGAAGGTGCTTGCCTGGCACACAGTTGACTGGGGTTTGATCCCTGGCATCCCGTACTGTCCTTGAGCCTCACCAGGAATGATCCCCGAGTGCTGGGATTAGATGTCTGACCACAGCTGGGTGTGGCTCTTTAAAACCCAAAAATGCAAGTGTTAGGAGCCATGAAGTGAGCCGTGTTGAGGTTCTGGTAAGACTAGAGATGCGGCTCAGAGACGTAGAGCCTTAAACATAATGATCCCTGAGTTTTCTTCCCAGCACCACCTGCCTCTCTCCCACCCCCTCAAACCACAGGGTGTACCTGCCAGAGCCTCCAAGCACAGCTGTAGTTCAGGCTGGGCAATATCACCAGTTTGAGTAAGATCTTTTTTTTTTTTTTTTTTTTTGCTTAAAACTCAAAGGCTTTGTTAAAATATAGAAGCAATTATGTACAGATAGCTCGATAGAATAGAAATTGTGTTCTCTGGGGCAAAGTTACAGTTTAATGTTGAATGTCACGAATTACAGGGTAGGAGTGAAAGCTCAAGTAAGAAAGACGTGATTGAGCTGACAGACGACAGTTTTGATAAGAATGTCCTTGACAGTGAAGATGTTTGGATGGTTGAGTTCTATGCGCCCTGGTGTGGACACTGCAAAAAGTAAGTCCTTCTTACCAACTCCTGTGTTTGGCATATCGAATACTCTCGGTAGCTTGCCGGGCTCTCCGAGAGGGGCGGAGGAATCGAACTCGGGTTGGCCATGTTGGCCGCTTGTAAGGCGAACGCCCTACCCACTGTGCTATCGCTCCCAAACACAGTAACAACAAAGTCTCCAATGGAGACGTTACTGGGCCCGCTTGAGCAAATCGACGATCAACGGGAGGGCCTTTACCTTTACCTTTACCTTACCAACTCCTGTGAGTCACTGCGTTCTTAGTACATTCGCAGGATGGTTTTGTTGCGTGGCCTTACCTCTGGCAGTCCCCCACTCGTTCCATGAATTTGGTTTTATTTATTGTCGATTGCACACACAAGAGAATTCCTGCCGTTCAGTGTAAAGAGCTGAACCAGGTCATAGACTCAAGATCTCCAGGAAAGTTCTGACTCTACACAGACGTTAGACATAGGCATTAGTTACCAAGCATTTCCTGCCTCCTGTTTTCAAAGGCTGACAGGGAAATCATGAAGCAAATTTGTGGGACGCAGACAAGAAGGGTGGTCCCCTTTCTTAACGGCACTCAGTGGTTTCCAAGTGGGATTTACCTCCAAAGTAACGAAAATTTTCCTCTAGCCTGGAGCCTGAGTGGGCTGCAGCCGCCTCCGAGGTGAAAGAGCAGACAAAAGGAAAAGTGAAGCTTGCTGCCGTGGATGCTACAGCCAATCAGGTTCTGACCTCCCGATATGGGGTAAGTCTGGTGACTGCTGGATGAGGTACACAGGACTTAACAACTGGTCCAGAGCTTTGGGTCTCCCATGCAGGGGAGAGGGTGTGTGAACACACAAAAAATAAAACGGCCGGCAGTCAGGCCGCTTCCCCACTCCAAGGAGGTCGATGGCGATGGTCAGGCGAAGGAAGGAACCGAGGGCCAGGCTGGTTGGTCTTAGCAGCGATTTATTACATGGAAGAGATGTATGTCATGGAGGCCTCAGGAATCCTCAAGCACGTGCGCCTTTGTTCTCCCAGCTTCTGTCCTCAGCCCCATCTTCCCAGGTTCTCTGATGCACGTGTCCCCCCATAGAGCCCTGAAATCTCCCTTATATAGATCATAGTACCTCTAAAGGGCGCAATATAGTGATGTCATCAAAAGGAGTTGCAGAAAGAAAATTGAGGCGGCAAAACATACATTGTTTCCTTACATCCACATTGTTTCCTTACATCCGCAGGCCAGTAATACTGGCCTCCGGAAAGAAGATACAAAGCCAAGCTGAAACCTTTCACAAGTACTTTCACAAACTGCAAGCACCTTGATTTGCATCCCAAAGACCAGCCTGGCTACCACCTGAGATCTGCATATCTAAGACCAGCCAGGGTTCTGAGAGAAAGGGGAAACTGTCTCAATATATGAAATCATTTACTGAAGACAGTTTGAAGGGGAGAAAGCAGTCTCATCCAAGCTAGTCAGGACACACGGGAAAACTGCTTCTAGGACGTGTTTCTCCTCTCCTTGTCCTACCAACATATAAGCATACATTTGTATGGACACAGTAAGAAATACTTTGAGCTTATAGAATTGCTCTCCTAGGGCCATCTCGATCTCAGATTGCAGTGCTCAGGCCAGATATCTTTCCTATTCCTAGCAGCAGGGCCCTAGTCTTGTCGTTACTTTTGGATCATGACATCATTTGCCTATGATCAAACTCTTAACTTATAGTTAAGAATCGTGGCACCTTGGCCTGGCCCATCGCGATGCCAGGGTAGCACATAACTTAACGGCTTGCCCTGGTTCCATCCAGTCCCACGTCGGGACCCTGCCCTTGGGGTGCTAGGAAGTGAGGGCAACTGAGGCTTAAGTTGAGAAGGCAGATGCCCAGGAGTGAATAATATTCAAAGCCAATCAATTCCTAAGTTATAAAGCATAATATTAATTAATTGTCTTCCTGTATCTATACAAAAGGACATTGCATTAAAGTGAACTGGTCAAAAGACATAAGGAGAGGAGAAAGGCAATATTAACTTACAGTACAGCTTCAGTGTCTAAGAAGGATGAGACCTTACAAATTGGTTGGGGAAGAGAGCATAGAAGTGGTTACAAACTGACAAAGTAATGGGAGTGACTCGGGAGCACTGTGATGGGTACAATCTGATAAACCCAAGCTCCGTGTACTCCAACAAGAGGGTTGATGTTTAGTCATTTCATAATAAAGTTACACTATGGCTGCACCTGAAAAACCTTTAAACTTGGACCCACCAATTTTTATTTTTCTAGCATCTTCACTACTCTGTGTTACAGAAACACATGCAGCTCTTCTTCAAGTTTTCACAAACTGTTCATGCGGGCTTTTGAAATTGTCCACTTGGTCTAGAGCTGAGATATTAATATTAAAGTATCCCTCCGGGGTTTGAATATGGTTAGCTGGGTCTGCAGTCAAGATGTTGAAATCCCTGATGAGCAGACCTGTTCATCCCTTAGACCTTGATGCTAGCTGGGGAATATTTGGGTACTCCTTTTTAAGATGGTTTAAGAAGTGATAAAGATTCTCTTATCTCTTATTTCTCATTAAGTATTAATTTGATTTTGGTGAACAGATTAGGGGATTTCCTACAATCAAGATATTTCAGAAAGGCGAGTCTCCTGTGGATTATGATGGAGGACGGACCAGATCCGATATCGTGTCTCGGGCCCTGGATTTGTTCTCTGATAACGCCCCTCCTCCTGAGCTGCTTGAGGTACACTGCGTCCGCCCCTGCTGCTGGGGCAAGTTCCTGTCCCCGTAGGAGAGGCGTCATGGGAAAAAGACAGGCGTTAATCTTCGCCAGTAATTTCTTCCCTTCCCTCCAAAATACTTCTGAAGTGTTTTATTGCTTTTAAAGTGGGCAAAATTAGTCTGATAAAGTGCTGCTTATCCTAACTTGGAGTATTAAAACAGTCACCTTGACAAATGTACCACTGAACTGCTTAAAATAGAATGGACCCAGTCACTGACACATGCTGTTATGATACTTTTCATAGATTCTTCTTTCCTTTTTGTGTTACACCTGGTGATGCACAGGGGTTGCTTTGTACTCAGGAATTACCCCTTGTGGTGCTCAGGGGACCATATGGGATGCTGGGAATCAAACCTGGGCCGGCCACATGCAAAGCAAATACCCTACCCACTGTACTATTGCTCCGGCCCTCCTTTAAATTCTTAGATGAAACCTAGGGATACAGACCCCCCCCCCATTTATAAATGTGAAAACTGAGGTGCAGGGATCCTTAAAAAATATATAAAAATAAGCACATCTGTTTATCTATACAGCGGTCAGCCAGCCAATGCCCAGGCATTCTGATTTCAGAACCAAACATTAATACATTGCCTCACCACCAGTGCGGGTGACTGGGATAGGAATAAAACACAGGACTCTTCTCGAGAGCGTTACGGTCGGTACATAAGGGGAAGAAGCCTCTTGTACTTATATCACTCTGTTCTTCAATGGAAGTGGTGATGTCTTCGTTTCCAGCTGTATTTCTGAGTTCTGTTTAAGGGTCTGGTTGGGGGGCTACGCTGAGCAGTGCCCAGGGTAGATCCCAGAGTCCCCGTTTACAAAACGTCTGTTCCAGCCCTTTGAGCCATCTCCCTGACCCTTGTTCTCGACTTCTCTGGAGTCTGGCCTTCCAACATTCGATGTGTCTGGTTCCGCAGATCATCAATGAGGACATTGCCAAGAAGACGTGTGAGGACCACCAGCTGTGTGTTGTGGCGGTGCTGCCCCATATTCTCGACACGGGTACGAGCAGCACCGAATCGCTGTCTGTTAGCTGTTCTCTGAGAACACCTTCTAAGTAGATTCATGTCAGGAACTCCCTTTATTTTCATTAAAAACTCTTTTTGTCTGTTTAGGAGCTGTAGGCAGAAATTCTTATTTGGATGTTCTTATGAAGTTGGCAGACAAATACAAAAAGAAAATGTGGGGGTAAGTTATTGAATTTACTGTTGGTGTCATTGGGGTAGGAAAGTATACTACTTCTGGAAAGTGCCAGGTTCTCTCAGTTTTCTACACGGTCCCATTTCTGGATTCACGTGGACTTTTTAAGATACAGAGCTAGGGGCCAGAGTGATAATACAGTAGGTAGGGTGTTTGCCTTACAGACCCGGGTTGGCTCCCCGGCATCCCATAGGGTCCCCCCTAGCACCGCCAGGAGTAATTCCTGAGCGCAGAGCCAGGAGCATCTCTGGGTATGACCCAAAAAAGCAAAAATAAATAAAAGATACAGAGCAAGTCTAGGTGAAATGTAGTGTAGGTCTCCACCGTTACCAGTGCAACAGTGTATTTTTTTCCTATAGGAGTTATATTTTAAGTGCTAGTTTGGGCTAAGGCTAGCAAAAATAACCCAAATCTTCCATTAGTAACATAGTTGAATTCTAGTAAAATCTAGATTAAAAAGCAGAGAAACTTTGGGGTTTTGTTTTGTTTTTGTTGTTTTTTTGTGGGAGGCACACCAGTGGTTTACTCGGGACTTAACACTCCTGGCGGTCCCGGGATACCATATGGGGGTTTTGGGAATTGAACCCAAGACGAGCAAGACAAGCGCCCTTCCTGTGGTATTATCACTCCAGCCTGGAACTTCAGATTTTAAAATCGAAGTCTGCATCTGTCTCCTCCCCCCTTTCTTTGTGCTTTGCTTGTCATCCTCACTGATCTGTCATTTCCCGGCTGGGTGAGTCTTCCTCCTGCCAATCCCTCTCACAATAGATTTGCACCTTCTCCATCAGAGCAGTAGTATTTGGGTGTGCCCACAGAAAGGCGCTTTCAGAGGTCTTGTTACTCTGCACTACTGTAAAATTCGGGTCAAGAAATTTAAGCGTTTTTCTGTGCATGCGAATAACGAAGAAGTTAGACTTTGTGAGGAGCAAACAGGTCTGGGGAAGTAACTCAGAGCTATAGAGTATGGACTTTGCATGTGGGGCCCCGTGTTTGACCCCCCACTACTGTGTAACTTCCTGAGCATCAGGATAACCCTGGGCCACCAACATGGGTGGCCCCAAAACAAAGCATAGAAGACTGACCTAAAGAGAGAGTGTAAGATTCCAAATGCTATGGGTAGAACTCCTGATGGACGAAAGGCAGAATATTGAGACCCGGGATCAGAATGGTGGTACAGTGGGTTAGCACTTAACCTTGCATATGGGTGACCCAAATACATCCCCACCACTGCATATAGAGTGCCCCCTGAGTACAGAGCCAGGAGTAAGCCCTGAGCATCTCCAAATGTGGTGCCCCCTTCCCCTCCTCACAAAAAAAGAAAAATTGGGACCAAGGAAGGTAGCCTATGGCTGACCCAGATTTGATCCTGGCACCCCATATGATCCCCTGAGCCCCACCAGGAATCATCTCGGAGCATTACCAGGCATAGTCCCCCCCCCCTCCAAAAAATGTATGAGGTTAATGAACATCTTGGGGATTGGTGGGGGCGTTGTTTCAGGTAAACGAATAGATTTGGGGAGACTTAAGGAGTTAGGATGTAAGGAATGTGAGAAGCACGGCGGTTAGTTTAGACAACATTGAGGGTGGACCAGAGGGCTCAGCTCCGATCCCTGCTGCCCCATGATTCCCTGAGCATTCTGCTGGAGTAACCCCAGAGCACTTCCAGCTTTGTTGTCATCATCCTCACACTCATCCTGACCCACCCCACCCCCCAGTTATTAAAAGCATTGTTAAGAACAGCTAATTAATGTCTACACCTATTTCATTCCATGCCTTCTTTGAAGTGTGTGATCTTTTGCTTTTTAATATCGGTTCGACTGTGACTCCCCACTCTGCTCTCCTAGGTGGCTCTGGACAGAAGCTGGAGCCCAGACTGATCTCGAGAACGCGCTGGGCATTGGAGGATTTGGATACCCCGCCATGGCAGCCATTAATGCACGCAAGATGAAATTTGCTCTTCTTAAAGGATCTTTCAGTGAGCAGGGCATTAATGAGTTCCTCAGGTAATTCCTTGGTTCCTTTACTTGCCTTTTGTGGTGGTGGTGTGGCTTATTCATTTGAAACCAGGTGTAAATAGGTGAGGCCTTAACTCACTGATCATGACGCTGCAATTTGTGCTTCTCGCCGTCTGGCAGCCTCATTAAATAGATGCTACTTTCTTTCAGTTACTGAAATTTAAAATGCTGAAATTATCAATAAATCGAGTTTCAGCCATATGGTGACTTTTACTATTGTCCGTAATTGGTGGCACAGTCTATCCCACGTCAGGTGGCCCACACTGGCATCGGCAGCTTCTGTGGAATGATTTTGAATGTGGTGTTCTCGAGAATGAGATGTTTATAAATCCACTTTTAAGTGACCTTCCTGTACCTTGTGTGTAAAATACTCTTCCGTGGATGTATCCTGCAGAGTGAACTATATTCCTCTTTCTCTCTGCCCTTATGCCACCTGTGCCCTTCTGTGCAGATGGCATTGAGTGCCTCCTACTTCTGCACATCTCCCGTTGGCTGGAAGCACCCACGTCCCCCCAGTCCCCGTCCTCTGTGTTTGAACCATGGTGGTTTCCATTTCTGGGTATTGGCTTATTGGCTTCAGGGCCTAAGTATGGAACTACATCTCTGGTTACTACTAGAGAGCCTGGCTTACACTAAGCTCTTGGTAAATATTTTATCAGGGATAGAATTCTTTTCGAAATAGTTTCAATTAGATAGAACTTCCCTACCCTCTGGGAACTTACTGCTGAACAGAGCACAGCCTGTAGACAAAAGGTGGTAAAACCGCACTTCATCCCTTTCCAGCAGCCTCTGTGGCAAAAACCTTAGGAAACAAACATGGGTTAGATGTGATGCAGTTATTGGAAATTACAGGTTCTCTCGGTGACCTTCGTTTCACCCATATTTACTTTCCACGTACAGAGACGGGAGAGGCAAATGCTTCGTGGGGAAGGTGCGGGTAGAAGCAGTAGCATGTGGTAAACCCGAGACAGTGACATTTGTGTTTGAAATTACATGGGTCACTAGCTCTCAAATGTCGTGCCTTGGAGGTAGGAAGGAGCCCCAGAACCCAGCCAGCTACCAGTGGAGAAAATATGTGGGAACAAATAGAGAGGCAGCAAAACAGTGCCAGTGTTCCGCCTGTGGCCCTGAGTCATGTTTTTCTGGGCAGTGTGTGAAGCACTGCCAGGAGGGCGCTTCAGAGACCAGCAGAGCTGAGGGCTGGGCTACCCACCCGGGGCCACACCAGGAAGACTCACAGACCTGCCACAGCCCAAAGATAAAACTCCCGGGCAGACCCCGACTTCAGTCACCTAGGTGGGGCTGGGCTCAGGGCGGTCACGCCCACCTCAGCAGGTGAGGAATTGCTAGCATTACTTCTCTCAGTGCACATGCGAACCGGCTGTCGGACAGCCCACCAAGGGTTAAGAAGCAGTGAGGCTACATTGACCGTTTGTAGATGTAGTGGTGGTGGTTCGGCTGTATCCCAGCCAAGGCAGTGCAAGTGACGCCTGTCTATCTGAAAGGGACACATTGTGCACTAAACTGGAGCCGCAGGCAGCAATACAGGGCTGTGTGTTATAAAGGCAGAAACGAAGAGAAGGCCCGAATTTTTATATTCAGTTTGTTTGAAAAGGAACAGTGGTAGGCGGTTGCCTTCAGTTTTCAAATACCAGCTCCATCCACCAAGGGTCCAATACCCAGATGGCTTTTCATTGACCTCTGAAGAGATGAATGTTTAAAGCACCATGTTTGGAGCCAGAGGTGACTAAGGGGTTCGGGTGCTTGCCATGCACTTGGCTGTCCCCTGTTAGATAGATCACCAGGGCCACATACGGTCCCCCAGCACTGCCAGGAGTGATCCCTGAGCGATAGTGGGTGACTGGCTAAAAAAGTGCCCCAAAATATCCTTTTAAGAAAAGCGTTTCTGCGGTCTGTTTTCAAGTTCTGCTAATCGCTGTTGGGTTCTCCTATGATCTAGGTTAACGTTTAACAGTCCTTATGTACTTGATGTGTGTTTCAGAAAAATAAGTCTGTTGTTGTTAATAATCTAATGGGAACTAGCTTGATCCGATGCCAAGGCCTTGTGCAGGAATCAGAGCTATTGTTGTACTGGAAGTAGGATTGGTCAGTCATTGTTAGAGAACCCTGGTTTGCATCAGCTGTTCTGACTGTGTGCCTCTCTCGGGTGTTTCCTCCCAGGGAGCTCTCTTTCGGCCGTGGATCAACAGCGCCTGTCGGAGGCGGGGCTTTCCCCTCCATCAGCACCAAAGAGCCTTGGGACGGCAAGGATGGCGAGGTGAGGACCGGACCTTCGGGGGGGTACAGGCGCATCCCTGTCCTGTCCACTCACCAGTCAGCCACGCCTGCTGTCGGACCTCGGTTTCAACATATTGCGTGCAGTCTCGTCATTGAAGGGCTGTTGGGGAAAATCACCTAAACTCTTTGAAATTGGGAGCTGGAGGGATAGTACGGGAAACACTGTGTGCCTTACATGCAGCCACATGGGCTGTGACCCTGGCTTGAGTCACCACCACCACATGTGGCCATCCTGAGCACTGCCAGGGGTCACGCCTAAGCACTGAATCAGGAATCACCCCTGATTCTGTGCACCACCAGGTGTGGCCTGAGCCTCACCCAAATTTTTTTTAAAGGGGGAAAAATAAAGGCGGGGCTGGAAGGGGGTGGTAGTGACAACTGAGTTTAAAAGAAAACTGAAATAATTGTAGCTTGGCATTTGATATACTTTGGGGGCAGGGATATACACCTTGCTCGGGTTCTCTTATCGGTGCTGGGGGGTCATGAGGTGCCAGGAATCATACCAAGGACTCCCCCATGAGAAGCCTGAGCTTTCTCTGCACCTGTTTGATACTCGTGACAGAAACCAAGTCTCATTGATAAAGTTGCCTTCTGATTCTTAGCCCATAGTGGTAAATATTTAATCTGCGTTTTCATTCACTTTATTGTAAGGAAATGTCATACTACAGCTTTGACATTAGCACTGATGGTCACACTCCCCACCACCTGCAGGACAGTTAAGTTAGCTGTCTCTTTTTGTGGGGGGCTACTGCTGGGCTTGAATCCGGGCCTTCAGCATACAAAGCACACGCACCAGCCTGTTGAGCTCTCTCTGCCCCTGCTGTCACTGTCAAAGATGTTTGGTCGTGTTTCCTTTTCGTTCCCAGCTCTTCCATTTATGTAGTAGAGAAAGTTCAGAGCAGGGCCTGGACCTAGTTTTGTGAGCCCACATTCCTTTGTAGAAGTCACTTTGCTGCCCTGCAAAGAGGTGGTTGGCTCCTGACTGGTGGTGACAAGACCCTGCAGGGCTGAAACAGCGGCTTTTGTTTTTTCAGCTTCCCGTGGAAGACGACATCGACCTCAGCGACGTGGAGCTGGACGACTTGGGGAAGGACGAGTTGTGAGACACTCAGCGCAGACTTCAGTTTTCTTTTCTTGGGAGCGTAATTTTTCAGCAGTGAAGGAACATTCTTAAAATGAGATGGATCTACCAGTGGCCTTTTTAACTGAAAAGTAGCGTGCTTGATTGGTCATTTGAAAACACTGCAACAGTGAACTTTTGCATCTCAAGAAAACTTTGAAAAATTCTATGAATTGTTGTAACCAGTGCATTGGGTCATATTCTGTCACATAATATTTTGAAGAAAACTGATGGGCTGTTGAAACACTTTTCCCTCCCTCCCTCCCTCTGCTGCTTGGATGTTTTGGAGGTTGTTTCTTATGTGTTTTTTTTAATGTGATTCTTTCATTTGAATATTAATGGATTTTTTCCATTAAAGAATAAAACAATATTTTGGACAATGCCAATTAAGTGTCCACATCATAACCTAGAGCTCAGTGTTTAGGCAGGAAGTTAGTAGTAGGAAGGGACTGTCCTGATGTCTTCCCTCCCTGAGTTTGTGATTCAAGCATTGCCATCAGGAAGCTCGTCACAGCACACATGTGCCTGCGTGGCCACGTTCTCTCAATGTGATATGAAAAACAAGTTGATGCGTATGGTGATGAAAAAAGGACAGTTGTTGGTTATTAGCAGCCTGATATCTTGTCTTTGGGCCATCACTGGTGACTAAGAGGGAGTATAGCTGGTTATCCAGTTAGCACAAACCAGATTTTGTGCTACCAGTAGTCTTCACGAAATGCCCACTAAGATGTAAACTAAAGCAGCAGAGTACTAATTTCTGGCAGCCCCCATTTATGTAAAACACTCAGAATGAAGCTTGGAATTATGTTAGAAGATAAGCGAAGAGACAATTCAAAGGAGTTAAGAGCCTTTTATTGTAACTTAAAAAAAAATAAATACCATACAACTGTAACTAACTTTTGTGAGCCATTTCTCTAAAACTCTAACTTGTGTAGGGCAGTCCTAGTAACCTGTTCTCTAGTGTTGGGAAAGAAACATCTGGTAGTCTGCGTGACTCTGAAAGATCTGGGTTTCAATTCGTTCTTCTAGTCCAGAAGATGAAGGTCGATGTGGAAGTAGACGTAAGGGAAATAGTCTTGATTGTTGAGTTGCAATCCAGGAATCTCTACCGATGCCTGTGAGCGAGAGGACAGGCCATGTTTAAGAGCCCCAGCAAATTCCCTGTGCTTTAAAGCTCTCCAAGCTCTAGCCCATGTTCTGCCCCTCACAGCAGCCAGCCTGTCCTCCCTCATAGCTCTCCCTGAGGAAATGTAGATTTCCACAGTGGTCTGGGAAATGCTATCTCGGGGAAGTCTTCCCCCATGGGAAAGCGGTGCAGAGAGCAGTGGTTTCTGGATTCCATACGTACATCCAAGATGCTGGCAGCTGCGACTTCATCCAGATGTTTGAAGACAGAGTTCAGAACCTCTCGGAGGCGCTTCGTGGAGGATTTCTTGTGAGGCTGCAGGAGCACGGCCTGAAAGTTCACTGGCAGGCCATACCTTCTCAGACAGACAAGAGGTGGGAGTAAGGCTCAAGAACGGCAAGTTTCAGCCAACATACCTCAAGAAATCAAACGGAATTGAAAAAAAAAAATACTGTGTCGGGTCAGTAGTGAGACCAATTACAAGATCTTACTGAATAGAAAGTTTCAAACCCTGCTATCCCACTTCTGATCATGATCACCTTTTGACATGGAGTTAAAAAGTTACCCTTGGCCGTGTGTGATGAATAGGTATGACAGGATGAACGGAGGGGCCAAGGCCAAGGCCAGAGATGTGACCCCGTATGCGACCCCTTGCATGTGTGAGCCTGCTCCACCAGACCCAGCTCCACCAGAAAGGGAAAAAATGGGCAACCCGATAAAGTTAACTTGTCTGAAACTCAGTGTAGCAGATTTTTTTTTTCCATCGATCGAGTTTATCATCTTACAAATTCCTTTTGCTGAGCTTGAGTGGACCAAAAAAAAAAAAATGATGCTAAATGCGCTCTGTATGCAAAGTACACTTGAAAATAATTGCTGGCAGCTATACCTATGGTGGCACGGCACCCCCTGCCCCTGTGTAGCCTTGAGGTCACCGGGGAGGAGCCTCACCTGCAGCCTCAGGATTGAAAACCAGGCAGCCCACCTCACGTGTGACTGCAGGGCCTTTCTCTGCTTCCCTCAACCATGGCCCTGTGTCCTCTGTTTAAAATCAGAACTGCAAGGACTGGAGAGAGAGCAGCAGGCTAACAGTGTGTGCCTTGCATGCTGCTGACACAGGTTCAGTCCCTAACACTATATGGATGGTGAGTGATCCCTGAGCATAGCTGGGTACATGCAAACCCCACGCCCCAAATAATAAAACTTCAGTGGCTAGGAGCATGGCTCAGTGGAACAGTGTGTGTCTTGCATGCAGGAGACGGATTGGACTCCCTGCACCACCCAAAAAAAAAAACTTCAATTCCTTCAACTCATTCCGAATTTGAGAGTGATCAGCACCTTGTCACCTGACCATCCTTTGAGCCACTAGACTCTCTCCCACCAATGACCCTGTGGCCCAACCCTGGGACGTCTGAACCCTTAGCTTTGTATTCGGACTCTGGTCACTCCCTCCTACTCCTGGAAGAAGTGATGGTGTCTTGGGTTGAGACCACCATTCTAGAAGGCACACAGGCTGCCCTGTCACATGGCCCAAGCACTCTATTTTAGCTGGAGTAACCCTCAATCCAGTGCCACGGTTCGTGTTACAACAAAAGGACACAGGAGCCAAGGCCAGCACTGATGTGTGTTCAGACAAAGCCACAGATAGCCTCAAGGGTATGAACTATAAGCAATGAAGCAAGTGAGAGTCTGGGTGAGCTGGTGGACGGCGAACCGGAGGGAGAAAACCATGGCAGGAGGGAACAGGACAGGCCTTTGGAGGGAGGGAGGTGAGGGAGAGGCATGGGTGTCCCAGCTACCCACAGCTGAGGTTGGGGACCCAGAGCGGGAAAGCCTGGGGGACCATTGGCATCATTAAAGAAGCTCGGGTGTTGGGGTAACACCTAAGCCAGGCAGATGGCGGCAGCTGGGAAGCGGGCAAGAAAGGAGATCTGGGAATGACTGGCAAGGTGGGTGGCTAGGAAGGATCCCGAGGCAGCCCTCAGAGCAATGGGCAGAGACAGGGAGCCCACCACAGGGCCGTCAAGCTGGATGAGCCAGCAGGTAAGGGTGGGGCAAAGTGGAGAAGCTTCTGGAAAAGGGTGACGGCCCACTGTTCCAAAGAGCAGCAAACAGGGCTTCAAAAAGGAAGTCCTAGGCTGGAGAGGCGACAGCTCAAGTTTGATTCCACCCCATCCCCTGCCGGCTCCCAAGCCCTGACTGGGTGTCCTCAGGGCCTCCTAACGGCCTAAGCGTCTACCCAATCAAGCCAGCGTAGCCAGACGGGTAATGGCCCAGACCCTGGAGCACTGCTGGGAGGCAAACCATGTTTTCCTCTTTGATTCCCTTTTCATAAAAATAAAGCACGGGCTGAGAGATAATGTTGCTGTTAGGGCCTCAGTCCGGCATATGCCCAACCGGGGTTCCATCCCCAGTACCACATGGTCTCTGAGCATCCCCACAGGGCCTGAGCTGAACCTTGGGCCCTTGTGCAGAACCAAGAGCTAAGCCTGCTAAAAATATCCCCATTGAAGACTGGACCTCCTGAGTACCACTTGGGAGCTAAAAACCAAAACAAAACAAAAACATAAAAATTATGCACATCTAGAAACAGCACCAAAAGCAAAAAGCCAAAAACCGAGGTGTGCCCATCCTCCATGCTGGAATGCTGGTGTCCAAATCACAGGGGGAGCCTGTCTCCGTGCTCAGCTGGTTGTCACAATCGCCTCAGTGAGCCACTTAAAAAGAAAACAAAAGCAGGGGCCAGAGAGAGTCCAGCAGGGAGGGTGCCTTAGCGAGGTGGCCCAGAGCTCACTGCAAAGAGCAGGATGACGTTTGCCTCCAGGCTGGCAGGACCTGAGGACAGCAGGGGCAACGGAGCTATGCGTTTGTGGGTCCCAGAAATCAGAGCACGTTCCCAGGAGCGGAGGTGCAGAGAGAGAGAGAGAGAGGGAGGGAGGGAGGGCGGACTGGGCCTAGTCCTGCGGAGGATGGAGGGGCAGAGAAGACGGGAACCCGGGCACCCCCCAGCGGTGCCCCCTCCGGCACGCACCTGAGCACGGACTCCACAAACACTCGCAGCGCCTTGATGTGGATCCAGGCAATAAAAGCTTCGCTGAAATTCACCTTGAGCCAGCGCAGCAAGGGGCCCTGCAGGGACAGGACAGCCCGTGAGCCCTCCTTGGACGGCCCCCAGCGTCGGGTCCGAAAGAACACGGCTGTGGACAGAGCTAAGAAGAAACGCCCCGAAGGCAGCAGAAGCAGAGAGTCGGCTGGCCCACAGGCCCTCCCACCCCCACCCGCTGAGACCCCGAACCCTGACCTCCAGGCCGCCTGGTGCCCGGGAAGCTCAGCTGACCACCTGCCAGGCACACCCCGGTCTCAGCGGGCCCCGCGGGCAACTGTTCAGGGGCCCACCTTCTGGAGGCTCTGGCCACCGGCTACCACTGACCCTCACGGCCATAGCCGCCGTCACTAGTGCTGCCGTGGCACATGAGGTGCGGTGGGGGCACCTCAGGCCCTGAGGACAGACTCTAAGGTGCCCCCACGGGTCCCGCCAGGCAGCCAGAGGAGAGCTGAGCTGCCCGCACATTCCCCCCACCGGCCTTGCCCGCCACCAGCTCCGCCACCTCCTGGCCACCAAGCCCCGGTCATTGCTGGCTGGGGGAGGGGGAGAAGAGCCCCCCAAAAGAGGCCCCCTGCGACCCACGGAGGAAGGCGTGATTCCAGGCTCCTGGGATAGGAGACCTCCGAAGCCATCACCCCCAACGCAAGGATTTATGTTGTCGGAAGACACCGGAGCTGGCCAGGCCATGCAAGGCGAGCCGGGGAACCCAGGGCCCCCCGGGGTGGGGGGGGCGTGCTTACCTCGCCCTCGCCCTCACTCTCTCTCTCTCTGTCGCTCTGCCCCGCAGCGGGCCTATCGGGGTTACCTAGCGGGGTTACCTTAACCTTGTGGTCCGGGAAGGTGGATGATCCCTTTTTAAGAGCAACACAGGAAGTTTGCTAAAGGCACAGAAATGATTTATTAATCTTTCGGCAGGGAGGCGCGGCAAACACACAGATGTCATTCTCAGGGCCTGGAGGGTGCGGGGAGCCACCTGGAAGGGCAGGCCCGCCCAGGGCGGCTACCAGAAGACTCTGGGCCTGCAGACCCAGAAACAGAGCTGGTGACTGGTGGGTGGACCCGCCTCCCAGCTGCCACCGCCTCCCCAAAATGGCCTGGGAGGCAGAGGCAGGCCGGGAGCAACTGTTGGGGTGGGGGGTGGGGGTCGCTTAGGCCGGATGAGCTGTCTGTCTGGACTGACAGCTTGCCTGGACATTCAGGGTGCACAGAGCAGGTGGGAAAATGGGGAACCGCCCCCTTAGCTCTCAAGCAGAGACAGCCGGGACCTCGCCTGCTGCTTCTGGTTGACAAGTCCCATGAGAACACAAGGTGCTGCTCACCCTCACCTCCATACAGTTTTGGGGGGAACAGGGCTCTCCCCAGGAGCACTTTCTCCATGCCTGCCTTCACCTGGCAAAACTAAACGTCTCTAAGTTCTTCACCGCCCGGGTTTCTTTTCCCTATGCAGAGATGCCTTCCCTGGGTCCCAGGGTCTGGGTGGGATTGGGGGTGGGGCGGGGGGAGGCAGAAGTCTACATCATAGGGGCTGGAGCGGTAGTACAGCAGGGAGGGCATTTATTTGCCTTGCACACGGCCAACCCGGGTTCGATCCCCACCACCCTCTATGATCCCCAAGCACTGCCAAGAGTAATTCCTGAGTATAGCGCCAGGGCTAAGCCCTGAGCAAC